TTAAAAAACGATTTAGTGGTACTAATGTTTTGTCTCCTTTTTTATGGCTTGGAAAAAATTAGCGTGCAAAACTATTCATTTTTTATACAAATTTGCAGGCTTATCAAAGACTCAAAATATGTGTGACTTTTTATAATTCCAAGTATTTCTTTAGAATTTACTGTTCATAAAGGGAGCCATTTCCCCTCACTCTTAGAGTATCTCTGAATTTGGAGCAGCGTTGAGCTATCAGTATAGATGTGTATATTATATGTTGGTTATGATGCTTGATAAATCTCGAATGCTAGTATTGAGGTTACTATCACTTACTATACGTCTATACCTCCATAGACAGTTGGTGTTGACTGTTGAGGTTGATGTGTATAAAGTATAAACAATGCTTCTCTACCTTCATCACAGTTAGGTGAGACCATCTCTTTGTAATTGGTAAAGATTCACATAAATGAATTGCATATCATTGTTAGTCATAGCACCTTTTTTTCTCATTCTGTACATCGGAAGAAGAAAAATTGACATGAGAAACTTCTCTAATCTCGCAAAGTGGAAGCTTTTGAATCAACTCATATTCATTGTTTCTAGCCGCATCACTTTCTTTACAGAATAGGACAGATGCGTTGTGACCAATTATAACAGAATTGAAGTTAGAATATGTCTCTTGATTATACATTGATGAATGGACTGTCCTTGGTCCTTTATCATTCTTTCAAGTTATGGAACACTAGAACAGTAAATAACAGTCGATAACCCTATAAAAATGGACAGTAGTCTATAACCTAAGTACCAAGGTTGAAGTTCTGGAATTTTATAGGGTCAAATTTGACCCAAGCCATAGTAGTATACAATTCAGTGTTTTTCCTAACAAATTACCACATCGTAGCTCTGCTTAAGATAGATTTTTTACTTACACTTCTATCCTCTTCCTTATGCTGCTAAAATGTTGTGCCAGCATCTTGGTTCATCCAGTTAAATAGTATAGATATTTGTTTGCTTCCTCAATCTTGCCTAAAAATGGGTCAATTATAACAGGTTAGTGTGAGTTTACAAGATGGTCGTGAATTTGAAGGCGTAGTTCTCAATTTTGACCACCACTCAGATATCGCTGTTCTGAAGATCAAGTCCAAGACACCTTTACCAGCTGCAAGACTTGGATCCTCATGTAAGCTTCGACCAGGTGACTGGGTTGTTGCTTTGGGCTGCCCACTTTCTCTTCAGAATACAGTTACAGCTGGCATTGTAAGGTTAAGATTTCCCTAAAACTGACCCTTTTTTGCTTTAGTTTTATCTCATCCCCTGGCCATCTTTAACATTACTGGTCCACTTTTGATCCCCAAACTTGCTCTTTATTTTGCTGACTTCAATGTTCCACTTTCACCCCATTTTCCTGTAGTTGTGTTGACCGGAAAAGTAGTGATCTGGGTCTTGGAGGAATACGAAGGGAGTATCTGCAAACAGATTGTGCCATCAATATCGTAAGACCTTTGACCTCATCTTCCTGGACATGATTTTAGCGCACATCCTTCGTGCACTTGGATATTCTGATCTGTTTGGTAATTATTATGTCATTTTACTAGGTCTTGTTACCAGCCATCACACTCTTTTTTCTTCTTCTGTGAACATGCGGAGATATGAAAAAAATAATGATTGGAAACACTATCACTGAATGTATAAATGTATTTGAATTTGTGTTGGGACAATATAGCTTTAAAAATCATGAATTGAGAAAGATATTCCTAACTGCACCCTATCAGAATGAGGACCATGCACCAAACAGTTTTGAGGAAAACATTAGAAATTACAGTAGCAAATCTGAAAAAAGATAGTAGCAGCTTAAGCTATTTACCTACTGTGCACCTTCCTGTTGCAACGTTCAACTTTCTATTCTGATCCATTTGTCACTCGGGTGGTGACTATAGATGTCAGTATCGATTAATTTTTACCTGCTTTCTACTATTACGGAATTAAATTTTGTGTACCTGCTTTCTTCTTGGACTAATATTGAAGAACAGGGCAACCTTTGTTTTTGTTTTTTAAGTTTTTCCTTGGTTCATCTATTTTGTTTTTGCCAATGTAGCCTCATACATATGTAATGCAAACATATGTGGTTTGTTTCCTTGGTGCTTTTGGTTCGGTCTCAGTTTCTCTAGGACAAACTGTGGACGCATTTGCATGCTGCAGGGTAACTCTGGAGGTCCTCTTGTGAACCTCGATGGCGAGATCATTGGAGTTAATGTGATGAAACTTAGGGATGCTGATGGTTTGAGCTTTTCAGTACCGATTGACTATGTCGTGAAAATAGTGGAGCACTTCAAGAAAAATGGGTATGCCTTTAGTTGTATGACTCAGGTTGCATTTAACTATTGCACTGTCTTGTATTTCACCTTGCCTTCCGAAATTTCTTTATTTAACTTTAGGCTATTATCTACACTTTTGGAATGATGTTAGAACATGCATTGTATGAGGTAAGTGAAAGTCGTATGATGATGGTGTTTCCGCTTTGTATACAAGAAGTTAGTTTATAGGTAGTCAGTCTGCATTTACCTTCTGTAAGTAGATTCTTTTGGATTACTTAAATGTTACCACACGCATACCACCACCAAGTATAATGTTCAAGATGAAGCGTGCACACTGATACAGCGAAGTATGAGAACATACATGGCCATGCAATTACCTCCAATCTTTTTGTCTCTGTTGCAATATGCCAATGCTAGTGATACACTTGCTTCCTATTTTGTAGATATCTTATACTATAATTTACTCATGTGGGAATCATCTTCTGTTCACGTTATTTATCATTTTGTGACAACTCAACTATTTGATGCCAAAACCATATTCAAATTATCGCCCATACTTGTCACATGGTAACTTGTCCTGGTTTAGTCCACTATAGGCGTAACTTAGATTGAGATACTGAAAGGTCACTTGATAAAAATGCGATTAATCGAGTTATCTAACTCTTATTTGTTTTGTTCTACCACTCGAGTAACCCGATTAGTGATGAATGAACATCAGTATTACACAAATTTAACTGAAATCCAGCATGATATTACTTTCTATTGTGCAATGCAGGAGAGTTGTACGCCTGTGGCTTGGTTTGAAGATGCTTGATCTTAATCCAATGGTCATTGCGCAACTTAAAGAAAGATCAAGTTCTTTCCCAGATGTAAGCAAAGGTGTGCTTGTTCCAATGGTAAGCTATTCATAATTCGTCTTGTGCCGTGATGAGACGTTCTGCAGCCCAGAAGACTCACTCTTAAGTTTCTGACTGCTGTGCTCAAATTAAATTTGTTGTACAGTTCTATTTGTCACAGTTCATTGCTTTTTTTCATATATTTCCTGCTCTTTCTGACCTATTATTTATTTCTTGTAATTGTGACTTTGTGGTGTGCTTGAATTAAACTTGTTGTACAATTCTAATTATCACAGTTCAATGCCTTTCTTTCTTATATCTCCTGTGTTTCTGACTTATTATTTATTCTGATTATAGTTAAGCCATGCTAAGTTGCTGATACTAGATTAGTGGATTACCAGGTTACACCAGGCTCGCCAGCCGAACGTGCAGGATTTGCTCCTGGGGACGTAGTCACTGAATTTGATGGTAAACCAGTGGAAACGATCAAAGAGGTAACTAGGGTAATCTCTGGTTATGTGGAGGTTTCTTAAATTTCTATCACTTGCAATATTCCTTATTTTGAAAGAAGTAATTATGTCATGTTACATCGTGATATGGAATTAAGCCTGATGCTAGAATAGTGGCCTCTGGTGCCTGTTGTCTAACATGGTTCATGCGCTTCTGGAGTTTTTCTTTTTGAGGGATATTTGTGCAGACAAGTTAATAGAGAATACACATTGCAGATTATTGGTATCATGGGCGACAAGGTTGGAGTGCCATTTAAAGTTCTTGTTAAAAGGGCGAACAATGTACCTGTGACTTTGACAGTTACGCCGGAGGAAGCAGATGCCAGCAGATGACCCACGATTATCTGCTCGAGGTTAATGAGCTCAGAGGAGAATTTTGCAGTACAAATATAGTTTTCCTTAAAATTTATTTTATGCGGCCCATGGACATTCTGTTGAGTTTGATGTAAGCATGGGTAATGGATATTGTCCTTACTCATAAGGGAAAGAAAAACTTACCAATAGATATGGTTGTGCAGTGTTTGACTTGACAAAATGTGAAACTCATCGAAGGATGTGGATGTGGAGTTTTGTAATCTGTCAATACTTATGAACAAAATAGACAAGAGTAACAGTAAGGTATGCCTGCATCTTTTGATAGACTCAGAAGCATGGTAAAGGTGGGCAAGAGACTGAAACAGCAGAGTCGTCGAATAATTTTTACATTCTGCACTGGCACTGCCAAAACCTTAAATGGATGCATGATTCGCATATCTGTCTGGAAGCAATGTTCTTTTTCTTTAGTGGAATTTGGAAGCAATGTTCTATCTGTATTTGGAAGGTTTGATTTGCCTGCTGCAAAATCAGGTTGGTACCTGGCGTCCGCCTTGCGTGGCACCCTAAAACCTAGGTCCATTTCTATTGGTTGTTAGAGGCAGCATCTCATAACTTTTGGTTGAAATG